GCAGGGCCGTGAGCCCCCGCAGGCCGGCCAGGCACTGCAGCTGGCCCGGGCTGGCCAGCAGGTTGCCCGCCACGTTGAGGCTCTGCAGACTTTCGCAGGCGGCCAGCGGCTCCAGCCCCGTCAGCCGGTTGTCCGCCACGTTGAGCACGGCCAGCTGGCGCAGCAAGGCCAGCGGGCCCAGCTGGGTGAGCGCGTTGCCCGACAGGTCCAGCCGCTCGAGGCCCAGGCACTCCCCCAGGCAGCCCAGGCCCACCAGCCTGAGGCCGCGCAGCCGGAGCTGCAGGATGGACTCCAGGGCGAACTCGCCCGAGTGCGCTTTGAGCAGCTGGGGCGTGAGCAGCACCCCGTCGGCCTCGCCGGGCTTCTCACCCTGGGGCTCCATGGGGCCCCGCCGAAGTCAGACGGCCGCTCACCCCGACAAGGCACCACCCACTGAGGGGCCGGTGCCGAGGCCGCAGGTCCCTAGGAGAGAATTCAACAGTCAGAGGCCTGCGAGACCCCACGGCCGGGCCGGACTCCCGCAGGGCGTGGGGAGGCCGTCCAGCCCAGGCCCCACCTCCAGGGCACAGGCGGCCAGAGCCCCCAAGGGGGAGCGGAGCCAGGGTCTGGCCACGCAGGTGGAACCCGGAGGCAAAGGGCCGCGTCTTCCATCTTCCGAACCTCATGTTCGTGTGTGCAGTGGCTCAGGACCCGCCTTACTGCTGCTGCAGGTTTCTGTTCCAGACCCCTAAGCTCCGTCCGAAAGATGACAGGTCACCACCCCACCTACCCAGCGGGCTCCGGGGGCGGACGCCTCGCGCTAGTCCCTTGAAAAGCTTCCCGGCTATCTGCTTAGACGCTGGCCACGAACTGCCAGGTCTGCAGCTGGGTGGCCTGAGGGCTCCGCCTTGGGCAAGACGAGCAAACTAGGGTGCAGCCCTGAGTAAGGGGCTGTGCGGCCAGTGCCCCCACAAACCAACACGTCATGGCGGCATCGGAGAGCAGCGCCAGCCACTGCCCGCCTGCAGCCTGGCCAGCCCTCCCGTGGACAAGCCCACCAGGGGCCCCAGGGAGGCAGAGAGGCGCCGAGGCCCCGTGGCCACGGGGCAGGCCCGGGCTGGCCAGACCTGTGGAGGAAGCAGGCCCTGGGCAGGGCCAAGCCGCCGAGAGCCAGGTGTGAGTGAGGGGGACGCAGCAAGGACGGCCTGCAGGGGCCGGGTGCCGCCCCGAAGTCACCCCAGGCGGGCAGGCGGCAAGGCCCTTCCGTCTTCTGTCCTGGGAGCAGACTGAGCCCACAGCGCCCTCCACGGCGCGCCCCACTTGAGTGGGGTGCCCACGTCTGCACCCAGCTCCCCTCTAGTCTGCAACACACCAGTCCGCTCCTTTTACTTCCACCGCGCTCCTTCCCGGAGGGGCCTCGCTCCAGCGCCGATGCCCCGGGGGGTGACGGGCGGAGAGGGGAGAGGGGAGGTCCCACACCCTCCAGAGCCGGCCCAGGCGGGGTGGGGGGATGGCTCTCAAGCCCGTGCGGTGGGTGCACGGGACAGGCAGAAGGGGGGTCCGGGCTGAGGTGACCCCCGTGTGGCAGCGGCTGAGGAGGGGCTCACCCACAGGGAATAAAACCCACTCAGCGCGCACTGGCCTGGGCACGTGGGCCCCGAGGCCTTGCCCCACCCCCACCCCTCCCCCGCGCTCACGTCTCCCAACTCTGAGCTGTGTCCAGGCCTGCCCGGGGCTCCCGCCTGGCCAGAGCTCCCGGGCCCCGCACAGGCTCCGGCCAGCTCTGCCCTCCTTGCCAGGCGGGGCTGCCCTTTGGAGGCGGCCAGGGAGGGGGACTCAGCCCCCGAGCCAGGCAGCCCCAGTCCTCTCTGAGGCTCCAGCAGTCAGCCCAGTCACCCAGGACCGGCCCCTCCCGTCCTCGGGGGCTGGGCAGCCCCTCGTCAGGGACCCACACGAGGACTGGCCTGCGCGCACGAGAATGTGCGCGGGCAGGAGTGTGCGCGTGGGAATGTGTGCACAGGTGCGCACCCGGGCAGGTGTGTGGGGGCATGCACAGCGCGTGTGCGTAATGCTGGCGGCCAGGGCTTGGCCTGGAGGGTCGGCCCATCCCCTCGGGGCGCCACTCCCCCTCGCCCGGGGCCCCTGGAGAGGGCAGACCCCTGCGGGGACGCACCCCCGACCGCGGGGACAAGTGACAGGCGGCCCCGAACACGCAGCGTAGGGGTCTGCGAGCCGCGGGGGCTGGTCCCTCCCGGGCAAAGCCCCTCGCCAGGCTCAGTCCGGCAGAGCGCCACGGGGGCGCTGGAAGCGACCGACCTCCCTGAGCGCGGAGCGGGGGGCTCCGAGAAGGGAGAAGCTCCCCGCTCTCCCCGACAGGCCAAGGCCGGCCGGACGCCCCGAGTCCCGGGAGGCCACCCCGGCGCTGCCCTCCCTCCTGCTGGCCGCCCCGGGGTCCCCGGCCTAAACCGCCTCCGCGCCAGCCAGGTCCCCGCCGGGGCAGACGAGGGGCAGCGGGCCGCAGCCGGGGAAGCTCTCCAGGTTGGGCTTGAGGAACAGCAGGTGCTCCACCGTCTCCGTGGGCAGCGGGCAGCCGTGCTCCTGCAGGGCGGGGCTCTCGAGGCCGGCCAGCACGGCCCTGGAGAAGGCGCCCGTGGGCGGGCAGGACAGGTAGAGCGTGGCCAGCCGGGCCAGGGCGGGCCAGACGTCCCGCCGCGTCTCCCAGTAAGCCAGGGGGTCCTCCTGCGCCCCCACCGTCACGTCCTCGTGCAGGTAGCTCTTGACCATGACGCTGGCCGGGTGGTCCTCGGTGGACAGCGAGGCCTCGCTCCTCTTGGACGCCAGCAGCCCCGCGCTCTCCAGCTGCTCCAGCAAGCTCTCCGTCCTGTGGCCTCGCAGCAGAGCGCCGCTGGGCCCCAGCTCCAGGCCCCTGTCCTTGGCCTGGCGACTCCTGGCTGTGCCCGGCGCGCCGGGGCTCGGCAGGGGCGGGGCGGCGGGCAGCGCGGAGGTGGACACCATGATCTCCTTCACCTTGTACACCAGGACGTGCTTCCAGTGGTCGATGTCCGCCCCCGCGGGCAGGATGGCCCTCAGCTTGCCCTTGAAGCGGGGGTCCAGCAGCGTGGCCAGCACCAGCTCCTCGCGGTAGAAGAGCTCGGTGAGCTGGGGGTCCGTGGACAGCTGCAGGGCCAGCCCCTCCGTCAGCCGCGCGGCGGCCCCCGCGGCCCCGCCGCCCTGGTCCTCGGAGAGCCCGCGCAGCTGCTCCAGGAAGAGGTGCAGGTAGCGCAGCTGGGGCAGCACCTGGCTGAGGGAGGCGCGGGTGGCGCGCGACTCCTGCACCGCCACCCGGAAGGGCCGCAGCAGCCTGACCAGGCTGCCCGCCAGGCTCCAGAAGGAGGCCGACAGGGCCGCGCCCGCCTTGTCCGGCCGCTGCTGCTCCTCGTAGGCCTGCAGGGGCTGCTGCTGGGCCACCAGCCACTCCAGCAGGCGGTGCGTGGACAGCCAGTGCTCGCAGGGCTCCCCGAAGGGCTGGGAGGCCGGCAGGCCGCAGCGCCGCTGCAGCTGGGCCAGCAGCCCCCGCGCCCCGGCCGAGCCCTGGAAGTGGCGGCAGATGGCCCGGGCCGTGCCCAGGATGATCTGGACGCTGTGGTGGTGGCACAGGAAGCTCCTGACCAGCGCGTCCAGGCAGTGGGCGAAGCAAGGGATGAGGGTGTAGCCCTCGGTCTCCATGGCCTGCTCCAGGCTGGGGCAGCCGCCGGACAGCAGGAAGCCGGGCTGCAGGGAGGCGCGGCCCAGCC